ACACAAGGGCATGACCAAGGGACAACAGGGAGCCCCAGAGTCCTCCTGTGCTCCCCACCTCTCTCCAGGTCTGCAAGCACGAGATGCCATCTCTGCTGTGGCCACCGAGCTGGGGGCACATCTCACTGGATCCCCCCACGCTCCCAGAGCTGGGGGGACCAACTCTGCCCAAAGGGACACACCTGGGACAGGCTTTGGAGCAGGAGCGGGGACTTGTGCCATTCCCAGGCAAGGTGGCTTGAAAAGGAGGAGGAAAAGCAATGCTGACCCATCAGCATGGCTCCTCACTTTATCTAAGATTTGCTCTCATTCAGGTTAGTATGATGGGCTGCTTCTTCCCCCTAAAACTCCCCTGGCTGCACCACAGAGCCCCACACCAAAACCTCCTGCTCTCAGCTTCTACAGCCCTGCCTCGTCAGAAGAGTTTTACAAACTTGTAACAACATGTAGGATTTAAAAAAAAAAAAAAAAAAAGATTCAAAAAAAAGAAAAAGAGGCATTTCACTGGGATGAGAAGGCTGTGGAGCAGCTCGAGAAAGTCAGCCTGGGGAATGGGGAGGGACTTTTGCAGCAGCTTTGACGCGTGCTGTCTAAACCCAGGCCTTCCATATAAAACGGGGGGAACGTGGACAAGGCCAGGGCTGAAGAGGTGACCAACGGGTTATCCCCAACTGCAGGAGGGACAGATGATGGAGCTGGAGCCAGGCTCAGTACAGCAAGAGATGTGGGGGACAGGGGAAACCCTGATGCAGACCCTCTCCTCCCCCAACCAGGAGCAAGTACCTTCGAAACGAAAAGGCTGACCTTGGCCAGAGGTTTCAGGGCAGGACAAGGGTTAACCCCAGCTCTCCAGGTGCCACCTCTCCCCTTGCTCCAGCAGCAAACATTTGCACTCACTTTCTTGGCCACTAAAAGCTGCTGGCTGAAGAGCTGCAGAGTTTAGGCACTAAATAGTAGAGTTTAATTATAAACATTTCAGCTAACCAGGCTGGGGCTCAGCCAATCTTTTTCTGGGGGAAACACTAGTTTGAAGTCTTCTACCCAGTCAGCTGCCATTTAAGCTGAGCCAATTATCTTAGCCTTTTGACTCAGATGTGCCTGACCTAACCTGAATGTAGTTTTACTGCTGCTTTGAAATATCAGACTCATGCGCATATGCATTCACTCCCATCTTCATTTGGCAACGGCTCTGAAACAAGCCTCTGATCTTGCCAACATCAAAAGCCTGGTTTGTAAGATAAGGTAATATTTGAAGTTTGCTCAGCAGCATTCCCCTGTGTCCAAAGTAAATCCATAAATAAGATATAAGCAAATAAAAAAAAAAAAAAATCCCCTTTCCTCTCCCCCCACCAATCAAGAAATGGAAATATAAATTTGCATGATGCTTTGTGGCTATTACAAAATATATACAGACAGATTGATCCCTGGCATCTATAATAAAATAAAAAAGGCAGATTGTGCATTATTTGGAGACCTCTCCTAATTCCAGTACAGTTCAGATTTAGATTTATTTTAAAAAAAACCCACCAACCCTCACTTTACTGCTATGTCTGACAGACTTTTCCAGAACAAGTTTTTCCTCTTCAGTTGATACCAATATAAGCCAAAAGAACTAATTAGCATTCGCACTGACGAAACAGAATAAACCCGGGTCCTCTGTTAAAGGGGGGCAAAACCTCGCCAGCAGAAGAGCACCCGGGCTCCGTCTGTGCAAGCACAGCGGGTTTGTGCCCCAAACACGTCCGCAGCATCTTCAGCCACCAGCAGAGCCAGGTGCCAAGAGAGGCTGCAAATCCCACACGCTTTTACTGCAATCTTGGCAGCAGCCCTTCGCCTCTGCAAAGGAAGTTTTACATCAGCCTTCACTTTAAGCCCAGCCTCCAAAACTGCCAATTTACCTCTCCCAAAAACACCCAACATGCCGGCGTGCTGGCCGGCTCCCAGCCCCACGGACACGAAGCGTGGCTCTGGGGATGCCCAGGGGACCGCTTCTGCAGCAGGAAATATTCTTCCAACCTCCACCACCTCGCTCCCCCGCTCCAGCCCTCCTCGCCGCCCCCCAACCTGGAGCTGCGGGCAGTTTAATCAGCCAAGCTTCCCCAAACTCTCACAGCCTGCGCGGGCTATTGTTACGGCAGGAAAAAACAGGCAGGCTCCTTTCACGCGCTGCTTTATGGGGAGCTCCTATTCACTTGTTCAAGCAAATTTCAAAGCGGGCTGCTGCCCTCTCATCCCCGCTAAGCTCCCCTGGACTAACAATGGGCTGAAAGCGATTCAGTTAAGCCTTTCATCCACCATGCACTTTATTTCTCACTCAGTGCTCTCATCTGTATAAGGCCTACAATTGGCATTGCTGTGAAGAGAGGGTATAATCCTAGCCCTGTGAATCCCAAGTGACCCTACACTGGTCCAGAAATGACTAACCCAATGAATGCTCTGTTGACACATGATCACATACAACCAGAGCCAGTAAGAAGAAATAAAGAAGTCACCCTATGATTCAGCTCTTTCATTTAATGCCAATATTGTTCAATAAGGGAATCTGGTGGGACAACAAACTATTTTTTTTCCGTAATATCAGTTCAAAACACACATGTGCATTAAAAAAAAAAAAAAAAAAAAAAAACTTACGCATCAAGGATTTTTGGTAAATCCTGTTTTCTGTTGTGCATCATCACACAGCACTGTTGACTTAAAAAACCCAGCATGCAGACCTCTCCGAGGAGTACACAGTAATCACTGGACACATCTGACAGAGACACTGGAGAAGTTTCACCCATGAGATGAAGACCAGGAATGCAGCACTCTGTTTACAGACAGGCTTTTCTAGAGCACTTGTACTTAAGTGAAGATGATGAAACACAAATGGCAACATCTGCCTTCTGCCCCGTTGAAGAAGATGGTCCTTAGGAGCACTAAATGAGTCTTACTGTCTCCTCTACCTCCAAACACAAAAGCACTATTTCTCTCCTACTGGGGAAAGCAAACTGAGGAAGAACGGTCAAACGACACGCTCCCAGTTTCACACTTCTCAGTGGAGTCAGGAGGAAAAGACTTCCTAAGCTCAGCCACAGGATCATCTCTCATCCTCACACTCCTAAAACACCCAGACCTGATCCACGCAGCTCCACTCAAATGGCTCTTTGAAGACTGCCCCAGCAACACTAGATGAGCAGCTATTTGCCCCTTCAGGTCACTGGCCCTATTAATGTACATTCTGACATTAATGATGAACCTTAATTACAGAAAGTACTTCCTACAGGAAGTAATCTCCTCCTCTTTGATGACTGATAGCTAGTTAAGGAAGCCTGGCCTAAAGACAAAGGCTCAGGGAGATACACTCCTTGGGTTAGTCAGGCAGCACCATTAGCATAGGGGAAAACATGTTTGCTCAGCTGCAGTTGCAAAATGGCAATAGAGGGATTCATTATTTTGCTCCATCTGATACCTCCGGCACTGCATGAACAGCGAGGCTACCATGCCCTGCTACACCTCTCTGCCTGGGCGCACACCTCAGTTTCAGCAGCCCCTAGTCAACGGCAAGAAGAAGCAGGGTGATGACCCTGGACCCATCACTCCTGGAAGCCCCCACGGTGCATCGGTGCAGCCGATTCACAGACGGTACATCCCAAAAGGACCCGGCCAACACCAGGTACTTACACGCTGCTGTCCGTCATTGACATGGAGTCGTCCGTCAGGGCATCACTAGATATTTCACTATCGTTCGCGCTGGTTGCTGGGGCAAAAACATAGCCAGAATTCACATGGTATGGGTTAACAGGATCATTCCTCTTGAAGGACCTAGGGACAAGCAAAACAGGAGTCTAGTTACCAGCTAAAGAAAAGCACACAAGTTTCACAGTAGCACCCTCCTTATGGCAACCACGCACACCGGTTGCTCAACCTCTTTAAAAGCAACTAACCATCCATTGCCCAGACCAGCAGCAACCAGGACACTGTCTAAACACACCCCAAGTCCAACTTTAAAGATGTACCTTTCAGCGTTGGAAGCATGCTTTAGAAAATCCCAGGAAGCACCTCTACATACTTTGATAACTTCAAAAACTTGGTCCTTAAAGCTCGATGCTGCACTGCTGGGGTCAGCAGGAGTTTCACTGTTGGCATCAGCAGGCAAAAGATCAAGAAGTTCATAGCTTAAGTTCCACTGAAAGCCACTGAGGCACCAGCTAATAAGTCTACTCCGAAGACAGGAGTTAGGGCCCCTTTGGGAATACAAGTTACGGTATCTGTGTTGCCTGAAACAAGAGAACTGCCTGAAACTACTGGAGCAGGACCACCATGCGTCAGAGGAGGCATGGACAGGGCTGAAATCCGCTGCCTCAGGCTTGGCCAAAAGATGGGTGACATCTTCCCAGCATTATAAAAACACACAATAAAAAACCCCAGATTTTAGGAGAACCTAATCCTTGTTCAGCTCGTGGTTTTGTGCATAGAGTTGGGTGGGGAAGAGGAGGATGGGGGATGTGAGGACAGGAGCAGCAGGTTGCATTCATAGGTGTGTGGGTTACCAACACCTTTGGCTTCGCTGGGAGAAGCAAACCCAAAGCCCAGCCTGGATGTCTCAGTTCAGTACCCAAGAGTGGTGGTGTGAAAAATTCATGGGCAGTGACACGGGCTGTGACAGAGTGTGGTGAGGTCACCACAGCAGGGGGGGACCTGGGCGTCCCTCTGCCTGCTACCTCCCATTACTCCAGCTTCCCAGCCAGGATCAACATACATATCTTCAGCAGGCGATAAGGGGATTATGCAGGGAGGCTTGAAAGCCCCATGTCAAGGTGCACATTTTGTTCCTCTTCCAGGGAAAGATGGGGTTGTTAAGCTTCTGCCTTTGAATATCAAAGCAAAAGGCCTTGTCATCTGATAAGGACTGCTGATTTTAATAATTAGGGCCACTTACCCAGGACTTGGGGGCCTAAGGAATGTGCCAGCAGGCTCAGCAGGTTTTTTTTAATGGGCTTCCCACCTCCCTGCCCCCACAGGGGTTGGAGGGGACCAGAGCTGGGTTTAAGTGAGCAGCAATGTCCTCCCACTGCCTGCTCTCCATCCCTCACAAACAACCAGGCACCCTGCTCCGCCGTGCATT